GAAGACAGGCTCTCGCGGAGATCACTGGTAGGTTTATGAAAACAAATATAACAAATCAATGCTACTGTTATTTATGCAGTAGTAATTAAGTACAACCTGACACTTGCTGATTACATATTAGGTTTTGATCCACATTTTGTCCCTCTAGTTTAAATTGCTCCATTTTTTGCACGAGAGAGTAGCACATGACGACTTTTAGTGTAAACGAGAAATTAATACATAATTATAAAAATGGTGAACACATGGCTACCATCAAGTTACGAGGGCATCTCATGCGACGGCGTCTTTTCGCATAGAGATTGTGCACGAGACATGGACTAAATGGCCCAGTTGCGTCCCGGATAAAATTGTTGTCGTAATTGTTCACTGGACTAGCGAGAAACAAGTGAGAAATGTTTACGAATCGACTGGCTTTGAAACTCAACAAGCAGCTAGTTCCTGTCACCTTTCGCAAATTTCTACTTGACAGCAGCTGAAGGATTTTCACTGGGACACGATTTTGGTCAATTGTATTCTCTGGTGCGGAAAAAAGGAGCAAGGATCGTAAATGTCTTTTAGTTATAAATAAAAGAGGCTCGCATAAGTGTGGAACAAACAATTTGTGACCGGCACACAAAAATTATGTTTCTGGTGGCTGACATCTTGCCATTTTGGACACAAGTAAGAGGTGTTCTCGTACAAGATTTCAAAATGCAAATCAGTAAATGTGATATTTTTAAGCGTAACTAAAATTTAAAAAGCGGTAATAACTGGGAACTGTGATACCAGATCAATTTTTATATACATGCGCCTTTGTATATGTATGCTCATTCGTTCACTACTATGAGGAGAGTTGGGGTGCCATTCATATAGCGTTCATTGTAGTCGGCAGTTGATCCCGACTGATGCAGGAACACTGTCTTCCCGTTCTGGAATGACCACATAACTGCAAGATGTTTATTCGCTCACGACACTTCGTACATCGCGATTCCAGAATTAATTATCATCTGCTGGATATTTTAGACTCATTTTAAGCCTACCGTTCATGCATTAGTGCGCTAAGAACTATTAATATCCCCGTGAATGCTCTAATACCGTTATGCTATAGTGTGATTCCTCAACTTTCCTTCAACATTCGTCGCTAACGCGCTTTCACAAACTGCCACACCATTCTTTGTTTCACTAGTTTAGTTCGCCTGCTTATCAAATGAATTCTATATCTAAGTACACTGCCGCATGTGCCGGTACTTCGACCTCCATGGTAGGCAATCAGATATAAAGGTAATAAAACAGAAAGACCTATTAAGAAATTCAGAATTGTGTTGATGATTTTTCGAGCTGCCACCGGTATTGTCAGTTTCCATCCTGATTTTCACGGCAGAGACACCGCAGCACACTTCACAGCTGGCGCTTCTATTTGACTCTCCTCAATTGTGAAACTAACACACAACTTGTTCTTCCTTCACCTTCTTTATGCATCATTCCACTCTTAACAGCCACTGCTTCTAGCCCACCTCCTCCTTCCTCCCTGAATTTCGCACCGTGGGCACATTTATCATAGCCTTTTCCCCTTCCCATTTCGCAGCTTGTGCTTCCATTTGACTCCCTAATTGTAAAAATAGCACACAACCTGTTCGTGGCTCAATGGTTAGAGCGTTAGACTCTGATTGAAAAGGTGGCGACATCGAGCCTCGGGTGGTGCACCACTTGGGGCTGGGTATGACTGACTGACGACGACTCTGAACAATTACCGGATAATCGTGAATTGCCTTTTTAAGGCCCTATAATCAATGATCGCTTGGTTATTGTGCTAAGATTATATGTTACGTTTGTTAGAATCAAGTATTTTCCTCTGAATGCAGCGTATAGGCTCTTCAGTGACAAGATCTCACCTTTAAACGCTCCTATACCCACAATATTTTTGAGATCAACCATTATTTATTAAGAGCACTGAATGGCACTAGGAAAACCTGCCTAAAAATCAAAACACAACTCAATGTTTCCATCAAGTTTAATTCTCTGAACTTTTGATCTCCATTTGTTCGCCTCATAGGTATAAGATTTGTCAGGAAGCTAAATTCTGCATGTGGTTTTCGCTCTACCACAAAGTCTCACTCATATATTTTCTTGCCCATCGGTTTAAGGTGCTTTATGCCCTTTTCACGGCAAAAGCAGACATCTCAAAAGAATGGAATGCAGCCCTCTGTTTGCTTCTCGCACAAGTCGTTAATTGCCAAGCGTAGAGGGTTGTTTATTTCACAGAGAACGGGAGTGATATAAAGCTCTTACTTAATCACGCGATGACGTTTCGTCATATTAACTCGTAGATGAGGAAGACTTCAACACCAGCTGACCAATTTCAAGGCCTCTAGTAGTCTGAATTCATGTGGTCGCCTAGCACTGCAGGACGCTAACTGTAACTAATAACTGTTTCCTGTTTTTTTTGCCGCTTATATTTCTGACGATGGACTCCAGTGAAAACTGGAAGCACAGACAAATAAAACGATAAATCCGGTAAGCGACGAGCCTTTAGTGTCTTTGACGGGAATCCTGATCCCCTCGAGTGTGACTGGCTACCCCACCCCGGTAACTGCCTATCCATGAATGTCTGCTGACCCCTGTCTGGGCTTCGTTCCCACGACGAATTTGAATCCGCCGAGTCTCTTTTGGGGTCACTTTTTTTCCAATGAACTAGATCCTTACCTAGAAAATAAAGTAATTTT